GAAAAGTTCGTACAGACGCTAACCCATCTTATTATATCTGTAAAACTTGGGCACTGTGGTAGCAGTAAGTAATTCCATATTAGTTTCCTTATTAGATGTATCACACACAGTCAGTGAAACAGTATTAGTATTTACTGGATGACAAACTTTCCAACACAATTGATTATTGCTTTTCGTAATCATATCGCCAATTATAATCACACGACTTCGAAACGTTAGTTTTATAGTTTTCTTTGTTCTCTCCTGTTTGTCGTCATTCGGGTAGTAGAATTTTCCAGATATTGGGGTGGACAGGTGTTGAATCATTCCTATTACACGTGTTGATATGCAGTTGATTCGATAAACAAAGTTTCTGTTATCAATCTCTCTCTCTACCTCGTAGCAGTTGTACTCACGGATAAGTGGGAAAACACAGCAAGTGCAACGTTCACCCCACCCCAAAAGTACGGTGGAGGTATGTAGATGACACACATTCACTGTACTTAAAACACAAGATGTAGATAGATTTTTTGAACACATTAACTCAAAGCTGAAGGCGATTCAATTCACTTTAATTCTAAAGTCAGGAAGTGAAGCTTTCAATGTTAGATTGCAGTGTAAAAAAGAAAGAGGATGGGAAGTTAAACACACTAGTGTGTGTGTGTTTACAGGAAACCCACACATTCAAACAGGTATTTGGACTTCCGATCAGCCCACCCATCCTATGTCAGGAAAAATACGATTGGTGAAATGTTTAAGTGACAACAGAGAACAAGAACAAAGTAGTACCACGGAAAATCAAAGACAGGAAGGGACACATATAAGAGAAGCCTTAATACTAAATAAACACCTTGATAAAACAGTCAGGAAATATGTGGGAAATGTAAAAGTAAAGTAAATAATGATAGTAGTGATAGTGATAATAATAATAATAGTAATAATAATATTAATGGTGACGAGCATGTCAAATGTGCGCAAGATAATGACATCACCAGCAATAAAGAATCTAAATCATCAGAAGTAATTCCATACAAAGAAGGAACCTCGAAAACCACCTTACACAGAATTCTTAACAAGGCGGGCAGGAATAAAACTGACTGGAATTCAAACCAACCACAAACTCAATTAGAAACAAACTTTGTCAGCTAAAAGAAAGGGTCAATCCTGTGGAGCCTTTGTAACAGAACAATTTAGTTTATCTTATCCCCCGCCTGTGATGATTGTCAGTTCAAATACATAGGTGAAAGTAGTAGAACAGGGTCAGTCAGTGAGTCAGTCAGACTAGCCAAACATAAAAACGTAGCAGCGAAATCTAGATTGGTTGACCCGACCGAATGAGATAAGAAATCTGGAGAATAGTTGAACAGCTATCTAAAGCACTACATGCAATCACACAAAACCACACAGTAGACTGGATGGGATAGGATGAAAGTTTAACAGGGTGGCAAATGGGAAGATTGGTAACGGAAGCTTTGTTTATCGAATCAATTGCAAGTACGTGCCTGCAATAGGAATGATTCAACACCTATCCACCCGAATATCTGGAAAATTCTAGTAACCCAATGATGACAAATAGGAGAGAACAAAGAAGACTAACTATAAAACTGCAGTTTCGAAGTCGTGTGATTATAATTGGTGATATGTATGATTATGAACAGCAATAATGAGTTGCGTTCACATCTATGTCATCCAGTAAATACTAATACTGTTTTACTCACTGACTGTGTGATATATCCATCTAATAAACAAACTGATATGGAATCAGCTATTCCATCCTTGATCAATGAAAACCGACCTAAATGATTCAACCACCACGACCACCACCACACTTCCTCATATACTGTTAACCCATACCTCCATCAACGAAGACAGGACTTCAGGTGAGCATAAAGAAGACATAAATGTTGAAGATTACCAACTAAGAAAAGCTACACGCACCAGTCACTATCAACGGAAAACATTTGAACGACTCCACTTCTTTCGCCTACCAAGGCAGCGTCCTTTCAACTATAGAGGGCACGGGTAACAATATCAAAACCATGTAAGCTCGGAAAAGCAAGACAGACATTCATTATTCATATAAATCTGTGTGGAATTCTGCCGCAGCCAGCATGAAGAACAAGATTCACATTTTCAACACTGTCAAAACATTTCCATTTCCACACATAGTTAAGAAACCTGGCTTATACGCCAGTAAAAGTGTTTTCAAACATGCTGTCTCTTCGCAAGATACTGAAGACCGGATAGTCACCCAGAAAGAAAAAGCGAAAAGGAAATCTTGCAGTCAAGAAGCCATTGCTGTGCAGATATGCAGATGGCGACATACATGGAGTCGACAAACACTGAACAGACCGTCCAGTGATATTTCCTGCCAAGCCATTGCTTGAGTAAAGCCAGAATAGGAAACGAAAAGTTCAGTGTGGGTTCAAAGGTGTTATGAATGAGATCGTGAGCATAGGAGATGAGAATTAATGGTCAGTTGTGGAGCCAGCTAAAGAGAACTGCAGACAGTAGGATAAAACGGAGATGTGCTGTTGAATTCGTATGTTAATAATAATAATAATAATTTGTTTTATTCCAAAACAGTACTTGTGATACACAGAATGGAATTCTCTGCATTTCACTACAGTATTGTGCATCCAGTTAGTACATTAACAATAAAATAAAATTCTAAATAGATTATGGGTGGGTAGTCTCAGTTAGTTTTTGACAACAACATACTGTCATGTCGGTCGGTAGTAAAGCCAAAATTGAACAGAGTGTTTGAAGGTGTTAGAAAACTAGATATATTAGCATATTTACTAGCGTAAGCGGTAACAAAAAGGTCGAGATATACAGAGAGTGTGAAAGAACGAAGACGAATGTTTTAATTAGAGTTTGTGAGGAAGAAAGAAACAAAGCAGCATATAACAGAAAAAAAGAAGAAAAAAATAGAAAAGGGAAAGAAAGAAAGAAAGAAAAACGTTATACCTATAAATGATATGAGTTGGAAAGACGAGATCCAGTTGTTCTACTTACTATTTAATAAGTTATAGGTATCACGTCTAATGCTTTCTTTATCGCACAGAACACTAGCCAAGTAGGGTATGGTTGAGTTTTTGTACTTGCTAGTGCGAGTACATATAATTTTCTATATAGGCTTCTGGTTCTGCCTGATTAGATACAAGGGGAGAGTTGTGAATGCAGAGGGTGTCGGTGTGAGTTAGATAGATAGAATGGATTTAGCCCATTTTTCACATGAGTCCAAGTGCCTGTCGACCAGAATATTAACAAGCTTGTTAAGTGGCACGTTTTGACTAAGAACCCAAGAAAATAATAATATTTTAAAAAATATTCTTTTTAACAACTGTGTTTGTAAATTATCATGCCTTCTATTATTCTTTGGTTTGTAACTAAATGTAAAATCGATCAAACTCTCTTCACAAAGGAAAACTTGAAGTTATTACTAATTATGAGAAATCGCATCATTTTTTGTCATTATCATGATTACGTGAATAACTGCGCAATTTCCATGCTCAATCTTGTTATCCTAATTACAGATCACCAAAATCGGCGGTATGTATATTTGTGGTGAGAGCTGGCTGCTAGCCAAACTGAGGTAGACAGTAATTTACGTCAATATTTATGTCCCCAATATTGGTCATCAGAAAAGAACAAGGACTGACTGACTCAACAACCAATCACATCACACTTCGTTTGCGTAGGCGGATACAATTCGCAGATAGACAAATGATCTGACCTTCAAGAAACAGCCACAAAGAGATGAAACAACCAATCAGGAGGTTGTGCTTGTCTGCTAACAGTAATCTATAATAATGTACATGAAAATCTGTAAACATCTGTTGACTTCCTTAATAAACGATCTGATTGTCTGGACCTTGTCTTCTGTTGTCACATATTCAGTATTCATCCATAGACTTTTGAATATTAAGGTGAAGTCTACCGAGATCTGTTTGAAAACAGTATTACTCTGTTATATATGAGGTTTTACAAATGTGAATATTAAACGGTGAACTGTTTCGGTTAGCCATGGTATCTTCAAGTTTCAGCATTCAATTATTGCATAACGTGTTATTAAGGCTCACAATAATAGCTAAATTTCATCATTAGCTGACATTGGTTAGAGAACCATTGAAAAACCAGCGCTGGGAGTAGTGAACAGTTGTTTCGTTCTAGTTTGGGACTCTTCATCAGTATGCACCCACCGGGGTTCGAGATGAGATGAGATGCTTACTAGCGACTTGCCATATTCAGTTAGGTACGTAATTACCTGGGGTTCTAGTGAGAAGTCGTGACCAGTAGGGTGCAAGGATAATTATTCGCCGAAGACATTGTCTAGGGGTCACGCTATGTCGTGAATTGGCAGAAGTTAGAATTCATGGGCTGGCCATTGGATCGGGTCCCACTGACTGGATGGCATACGAGCCAGCTTGCCTTGTAACTGGAAGGTCCTGGGCTCGAACCCTCTGTGGTGGGTGCGTACTTCTGAAGATTCGCAAACTAGGACGGAGGAAACATCTGTATGGCAGTACTCCTTAGTTGGTTTTCCAAAGTTTCTCTAACTAATGTCAGCTCATGATGAAATCCTGTAACCAATCAACCAAATCCCTACAAACCAACACTTAAATAGCCGAATTCCTTCGTCCCAGTGACTGGAAACACCACTGTTACGTATAGATATATTAACAGATATTTATACATGTTGCACAAATGACTGCTTCTTCACCACCCATAGAGTTTTAATTCTCCACTACTGTCTACGTCTTGCCCCCTGCCCCACGCATACACAAATACCACACTTACTTAGATGACATTCCTCACAGTGCATATGACACTAAAAGGATAAAAGAAAACCACATGATAATCACTCATTAATTGTGTATTATACTGTATAACTCCTGCTTTACGTCAATCAATTACCCCTCCCCCTCCGCGCATTATAACATAGCAAAATAACAAAAATCAAGTTTCCTGCTGACTTTTATTTGAGCAGAAGCAGCAGTAGTTTTTTTTTAACTCTTTTTGTTTTTTTATTTCTAGAAACAAGATCAATCGATTCTCTGCCCACAAAAGAAAATTATTTGCAAAATAAAATGCTAAAAGCTTGGAAAACAGTATAAATCTGTTTGTACATCATATCAACACAGAAGAACAATCTCTGTTCACGTCTTGTACCCACACAAACACACACACACACTAATAATACATTGGAAATACTTCTCTTTGAAAATAAACAAAAAAGGGGATGGCGTCTGCTGCACGAATCATTTTTCTTGTTGCTGTAATAACCGCGGTTGTATGCGCTATTATCGCTGTTGCTATCAGTCCATTTGTAAGACGTGAGTTGATATTGTCTGGAGACTATTTCCTTTGTTTTAATATATATTATAAATTTACTTCACAATTATATAGACTATTGCAAGGTTTCAGTGCGTCGGTGACACAGCGGCGGTTAGGTCGCTCGCTGACCATGCACATGGTTGTAGGGTTCGATCCCCGGCCGATGAAATCCTTTACCTCACTAAGTCAGAAATAATGCTGGTAAAGAGGAAAGGTCGGGCATGAGGCTAGCAACCCCATCCTGTAAAAATAAACACTGCTACAGAAACTTCAAGCCACTAACTTGAAGGTGCCCTATATGCCACTGGGAAAGTGAAGGATAAAAAGGTTTCATGTAAATATATTTAGTTCACTTAACAGTTTCCTGGTATACACTAGGCAAAAAGCATGAAGGCATCTGGATAACCTCCACGACTTTCTGCCAAGTATTTTACAGCCTAGAATGTATGAAAATATAACAAAATTCCCGGAGATATAATATGTTGAAATGAATAATTTTTCAATTTTCAGTTGGTTGTTGTTGATTGTCCTTGGACTGAAATAGTCGACAATACGTGGTGGCTAAGATGATTTTTATTTTTGTTTTGGCTGATTCAGGATCCCCTTTTCTTCCGATTTTTGAGTTCTCGTTATCTGAATATTCCTGCTACCTCACTGAGACATGATATTCGCCCTGAGATTTCAACTTAACACTAATCGATATTAGTTTGTTTATTAGATGCATATATCACACAGTCGGTGAGTAAAACAGTATTAGTATTTACTGGATGACATAGATGTGAACGCAACTCATTATTGCTGTTCATAATCATACATATCACCAATTATAATCACACGACTTCGAAACTGCAGTTTTATAGTTAGTCTTCTTTGTTCTCTCCTATTTGTCATCATTGGGTTACTAGAATTTTCCAGATATTCGGGTGGATAGGTGTTGAATCATTCCTATTGCAGGCACGTACTTGCAATTGATTCGATAAACAAAGCCCCTGTTATCAATCTCTCCCTCCCTCTACTCTGTGACATAATAATAGTGATATTGATGGTAATAATAATCATAATAATATTAATGACGCCATGCATGTCAAATATGCTCAAGACAACACCAACAAAAAGGAATCTAAATCATCAGAAGTAATTCCATACAAAGAAGGAACCTCGAAAACCACCTTACACAGAATTCTTAACAAGGCGGGCAGGAATAAAACTGACTGGAATTCAAACCAACCACAAACTCAATTAGAAACAAACTTTGTCAGCTAAAAGAAAGGGTCAATCCTGTGGAGCCTTTGTAACAGAACAATTTAGTTTATCTTATCCCCCGCCTGTGATGATTGTCAGTTCAAATACATAGGTGAAAGTAGTAGAACAGGGTCAGTCAGTGAGTCAGTCAGACTAGCCAAACATAAAAACGTAGCAGCGAAATCTAGATTGGTTGACCCGACCGAATGAGATAAGAAATCTGGAGAATAGTTGAACAGCTATCTAAAGCACTACATGCAATCACACAAAACCACACAGTAGACTGGATGGGATAGGATGAAAGTTTAACAGGGTGGCAAGTGGGAAGATTGATAACAGAAGCTTTGTTTATCGAGTCAATTGCAAGTACGTGCCTGCAATAGGAATGATTCAACACCTATCCACCCGAATATCTGGAAAATTCTAGTAACCCAATGATGACAAATAGGAGAGAACAAAGAAGACTAACTATAAAACTGCAGTTTCGAAGTCGTGTGATTATAATTGGTGATATGTATGATTATGAACAGCAATAATGAATTGTGTGTGTGTGTTCGAAACTTTGTCATCCAGTGAATACTAATACCGTCTCTGTGATTGTGTGATACATATAATAACAAAACTATTATGGAATTAACACCAATCGTTTTCTAAACTCCAAACTAGCAATTTCAACAAGTAACAACTGGTAGGTGTTCAACACCATTTGTGTCATTTGTCATAGTGTGCTTTAGTGGATTAGCCTTGGCATTTGAAACGACTAGTGTCTGGGGTTCGAATCTCACGAGACTACCATCATATCTTTATTCAATTTTCTATCGATACGGTGTGAAACAGGTAAGTTTTCAAAAGGACTACATTCGTCTAGCCAAATCTAGTTTCTCATTTCTTCTTCAAGGAAATAATAAAGAATCCACATCAGTTGAATAAATGATGAAACATCTAGAAGAACTTAGTGGTCCAGATAGGGTTAATATCAATTATTCAGTAAGCGTTTATCTACTGGTTAATCGGTATGTATTAGCTGGTTTCAATGCGTCTACAGTTCAATGGGAGAATGCCTACCAACTATGCAAAAGGGTCAGGATTGGATTCCCAGGTGACTCACTCTTAAACTTCACCAGTCTGGTAGTAAGAGCGATAAAGAATGAAGTTTGGGTGGGGTGGCAGTTAGCAACCCACTAACAGTTTCAGATGGTTCGCTCAGTTGATTCTCTAAAGTTTTGAATTTCCAGGAGCAACGTCTAACGCTGTAATGAATTGATGTCTCTTCCAAATGATGCTTTACCCACGTTTGTATCAACATTTTCAACTACCTGTTCTATTCCTAATTGATGTGTAATATATATTAGGTTTAGTCGTTAGCAGATAAATTTCCCCTTTAGACTGTCTCTGATACAATTTTGAAAAAATTTACATTTTTGTGTCAACCATTATCACTAGTACCGTATTAGTACGTCTTGTAACCAACTCTGTCGCTTGCTGATTAGACACCTTTTTGAAATCCCTCTTATCTGGATGTTCTCCGTATTTCTCTAGGACTGTATTACTCTTCTTCATATACATGTATATATATATGCTTAAGAGTTCCTTCGTTAGACAATTTAATAATAATTTCATACATTCATTCCCCTTAGTGAATTTGAACAAAGCAAAAACTACAGTGACTTTTGCAGAATAAAGTGGTACCATCACTTATTTCGTTGACTTCACATCAGCTGCTTACAGGCAAAAGACATTATTAAGTATATCTACAGAAACAATTTTAACATACTCGCAAAAACAAAAATCAATCAATCGATCAATATATGCATACAGTAATAATATATACATATTCGTATATATGTAATATTAAAGACTATTCCGAACAACAATAATAATCATACACAATGGAAAATTTTCAGCATTACGCATTCAGATGAAAGAGAGAGATGAAAATATCCAGTTACCAGGATGGGCAAACAAAGAGTGATAACCGCTTCTTTCTGAAGGCACAAGTCAGGTTTCAGGTGCTTGATGGAAATGGCTTCAGCAAACTGAAGGGTAATTGAGCTTTTTTGCCTGTTGATAATTTTGAACGACTTGTCGACATCCACCTCATGACCGACCTGTGTCAAGGAGAGATGCCTGACGATGGATGGGATTGTTTAAAGCATTTGTTCCCAGCTGTAGACACAAGCTTTTTGGTACATGTTCAGAAAATCGTAGATATGCCCTTCTTCTTTCTGTTCTTCCAATGTAACTGCTCCCACAGATATATGTAAATTTGTACATACACTTGGAGTTGTTAACATGAGAAGGAAATCTATCGATTTTTGATTGCATCAAAGGAGAGCAAGTTGTTCGACAGATGGGAACCAACTTAGCTAGCTGCAGGATAGGCTCTGGCTAGTGACGTAGTCAGCCTTCTATTGATCATTGCTGCAATGTTTTCACCATTATAATCAAGTTGAATGTAGATTGGCTATTTTACCCACTGTGATTTGTTTTGTATTTGTGACTTCAGATCTTCCATACTTGTTGATGAACCTTTGAGGGTACCCATTGCTCTTCAACATCTTTTCAAGGAACTCAAATTCTTCCTCTAATTTTTCTATAGAGTATATTCTCCTTGCTCTATAGTACGAAGTATTGACTAGTCCGCGTTTAAAGCTATTTGGACAAATACTATTAAAATGTAAGCACTGTCCTTTCCAAGTAGACTTTCGATAAATTGACTTCTGAAGACTACCGTCTTCTAGCCAATGCATAGCAATGTCGAGGAAGTGGGACTTTCCGTCACTTTCACGTTTTATAGTAAACTCAATATTGATGTGAACATCATTGAATAATCTGAGTAAGAGTGAAGCATGACTTTCATTGTTGCACACTACGAATGTGTCATCAACGACAGTGAGAAGTTGTTTTGTCGATTGCATGCTTCAACTTTGTTCTTTCAAGGTTGGACATGAATATATATATCTGCTAAAACATGGCTAAGTGGACTGCCCATATCTACACTATCTATTTGGCGGTAAAGAGTGTTGTCCAATTGGAATTGCAAAAACTGTAGTTCTTGCTTTGCTCAAATTAACAATAATAATGGCTTGACGTAAAAATCTAAGCGTATGACAGTAATTTCTTAGTCAGAGTAAACGCCAAAATACAAACTGTAGATGTCTTAATCAGGAGAACCAACACAGGAAATTTAAAAACACAGATGCATAGAAAATCAACGCGCACAGATCGAATACTCAACTATACTAGCAATAATCCAATTACTCACTCACAAAAGAAACTGTGTGCAGAAATTGTTTAAAAGAATTCAAACACACTGTAGCACTCCAGAATTGAAAAGAATGCAAGAATAATACCTACAAACGGTCTTCAATCAGAATGGTTATCCACAAAATTTCATCAAAAAGTGTTTAAAATCGAATCACAACACCAACAAGGAACCATCATCAAAGACCAAAAAAAAATTCATCCTACCATACATGAAAAATATCTCTGAAATAACAGCTAGAACACTGAAACCGTTTGATAAAGATATGGAACACATGTAAGCCAAACCACTTTATTCGATATTATGCGAACCGAAAGACACATCCAACAGAAAAAGGAGATAAAATTATGATAACATTTACAAAATAAATTGCATGTATGAACTGTAACAGACATTATATCGGCCTAAGTGGACGTCCCCTTCGAACCAAAATCCAGGAACATAAATCAGCTGTGAAAAGACACGATATATATTCCTGTTTCATATCAATGC